ATTTAAAGATGAAAAAGATTTCGGAGCCCAGTCCTTGCATGCAAAAATGCATCCCCTATTACCCCCAAGCTGTCTTCATTTCAGCTGTGTAACTTAGGGCAGGGATGCTGGGAGGGAGTCATTTTGTTGCTGCTATTGATAAATAGTTGGGAGTCAGAAATCCTTACCTGGGTAAACTACCCAAAGATCTGGTACACCTGGATCTACTTTCTCCCCTCTGCCCATGTCTTAAATGACAACTCATGTATATTTACCTCTTTCTATCAAAGCTGTGTGAGCTTTGTCTGAATGTTAAATGCAGACAAACTGCTTATCCACGATGCATCACTGATATGCTTTTGATCCTATAGCCCTATGAGCAGATACAGACGGGAGGCTGAACTCCGGAACAAGAACAAGCAGTTGGAGTCTGCTAAATGGGAAGTGAGCTCAAAGCTGATGGAAGCAGAGGTAGGAAACAAACTTGATTCTGATTATCCTAAAATGATCTCAACTGTGCGCTGGGTTCCCCCCAGATTTCCAACAGCCTTCTAAGAAGATAAGGTAAATTCATGGAGGCCATTGATGGCTACCAGCCATGGTGGCTGTATGCTACCTCCCAAGATCAGAGGCATGTTGCCTCTGAATACTAGTAACTGGAGAAGAACAGTGGGAGAGGGCTGATGCACTCGTGTCCTCTTTGTGGGCTTCCTATAGGAATCTGGATGAGCACTGTTGGAAACGGGATGCTGTACTAGGCAGCCCTTTTAATCTGATCCAGCAGACCAAATCCGGGATAAGATGCTAAGATATCTTGTCCCGGCATTGGCTCATTGGACTGTACTTGCCCAATGGGCCACACTGTGTGTGTGTGAAGTTATTTAAAAATACAGTGGTACCTCGGGTTACAGACGCTTCAGGTTACAGACTCTGCTAACCCAGAAATAGTACCTCGGGTTAAGAACTCTGCTTCAGGATGAGAACAGAAATTGCGTGGTGGTGGCGGCGCAGCAGCAACAGCAGGAGGAGGCCCCATTAGCTAAAGTGGTGTCTCAGGTTAGAACAGTTTCAGGTTAAGAACGGACCTCCAGAACGAATTAAGTCCTTAGCCCTAGGTACCACTGTATGTTACGAGATTTAAACAGGTTTTGAAAAGGCCATCCAAGAAATTGGCTTGTAGAAATATTGTTAATGCCTGCTCATGCCAGCGGTCTATGCGGGGTGGAGGGCAGGCTTGCTTCCCTCTAGTGTGCAGTTTTTCATCCCTCCTGCGCCAGGCAAGCAAATCTTAAATGCTTGAAGGCCTAATAAAAACTGGTGCTCTGCTGTTTGGTTTAGTTATCTCTACTTGCAGAAAGATCTGAAGAATACGAAGGAGCACTGTGATAGTCTGGAAAAAGAAAACCAGAAGCTGAAGAAATTTCAGGAGAGCTGCATGTTGATCTTGGCAGCTAGGAATTGTGATCCAGGTATAAAATACAGATGCTTCTCTGCTCTCTCCCCTGTACATATACATCTGCAGTATACCATCACTTTCTCCCAAATGTCTTAATGGAATTTAAATTCCTTGGATAAAGTTCCCTGTGATTTCTTTTTCTTTTCTTTTCTTTTCTTTTCTTTCTTTCTTTCTTTCTTTCTTATTTAGTTTCTTCCTACACTGGATGCAAGGAGGTTGCAGGGCCTTTTGGGACCTCCTGTGATTAGGGCACATACACAGGAACACCTGTACACTTCTAGGGGCTTCTTTTTGGTTATCCCACTGAGTGTATGGGAGTGCTGGAAGCAGGGTCAGGGGGATGCGCTGATATTGGGACCCCAGTGCCCCACATTTGCCTTCATGTATTCTTGGAGGAATGTGCAAAAAGGACTATGAGCTGGGTTTCAGTACAGGTTAAAAATCGGAGTGAATGTATGAAACTGTTTTAAGGTTAATTTGGACCATTGGTCAATCTAGCGCAAGCTTATCTACTGATGGGCAGCCACACTCCAAGGCCTAGAGCCAAAATCTTTCCCAGTAGTGCGGCTTTAAGTGGAGATGGCAGGGGTTGAATCTTCTGCATGGAATGCATGTGTTTCACTGCTGAACTTATAGTCCCTCCCCATGCGATCACACTGTGATCTGCAGAATCTTTTAAATTCTTAATTTGGTGTTTTAGATGGGGGAGGGGGTTATTGGTTTGTGTGGGGCGGTGTTCTTGTTTTTATTATGTATCTTGTTTTTATCTTTATTTTTATGTCGTGAACTGCCCTGAGATCTATGAATGAATGGCAGTGTATAAATTTAATAATAAATTTTGGGTTGCTTATTAAGGATAGTCCCAGAACTATGGGAATGGAGGCCATGCTTCTGGTAAATTAATGGCATATGTATGGTTCTGACTTGTAAATGTTTTTGGTTTTTTTCCTTTTCATTCCAATTAGCCACAGGTGACAAAATTTTGGAAGAGGATGAGGAGAACAAGAAGACACAGGCTGAAATAATGGTGAGAGAATGAACCCGTTTCCTCTTCCCTAGAAAACTGCTTGCCTGACTCTTCCCCTCCTGCAAATTTTCTTCTATGTATTTTGTTGAGTTCCAACTGTCATGGGTCCTAAATAACTACGGAGATACCTTCTGAATATCTCCAGGACAGAATTTGACAGAACTGCTGGCCCTGATGCAAGGCAGTCAATGTGATGACCTCTACATGTTGCTAGGCGACTGTTGTCATCCCTGACCATTGGACATGCTGGCTGGACCCCACTTTGTCAACCCCTTCTTGTGCCTTTTCTTTCAGGACTTGATGGAGAAGCTGACTACTGACCTTGAAGTATTCACCCAGATGGCAAAAGAGCAAAAAGAGAATCTTCAGGTAAAAGACGAATTGTCTTCCTTCTCCATTACTGCCAACATACAGAGCATTTAAGCCTGACCACCACCACTGCTAGGTCTCTAGACACAGAGCCAACACCACACAAATTCCCTTCTTCTAAATGTTTTTTCTTGTCTGCTCACCTGATGCTAACCACACCTCCATATATGTATGCAAACTTCTTACTTCTGTTTGGCAAGAGGGGAAAGGCCTGAACTGACAGTAACTTCGCACTGCAAGCCAGCCACTTTGCAGAGTGATCTTGTACCTGCTAACTGAAAACAAGTCGTGTAAACCTTGAAGGCTAGCAAATTTATTATGGCATAAGCTTCATGGACTTCAGTACTTAATGTTTTTGCTGCCTTTCTGAAAACTGAAAATACAAGTTGTGTGTAGAATACATTAACTATTAATTTTCTTTCCTCGTAGAAGACACATGACAAATGGAAGCAGGTGGAGGAGGAACAGGCCCATTTCTTAGAGCAGGAGCAGTGTTTTCATAGAGAAATGGAAGATTTGTTTGCCATTTTGGATCAGGCAGAGGAACTCAATTCATCATAACAAGAACTGAGCCATGTAATCTTGTGCTGATCTGCTTCCTTATTGGACTCCAATATATAGAGCAGGGGTATCCCTTGGAACTTTTATAGTTTTAATAAGGTTTGTCTTTGAAACCCTTTGGGTTTTTTTTCCTTTTCTCTGTTTTGTTTTTTGTAAATAATTTTTTGGGGGTAATTAATTGATTAAAATAAAATCAATTTAGAATGAGAATCATACATAGGATTTCTTTTTTTTCTAATACAATGAAATAAAAGAATCAATATAAATGGAATTTTAAAATACAGCATCTAGTACAACTTATTACAATTGCTACATCAAGTATAGAAAGCATTGTGGTCTGTCAAGGCCAACAGCAGTTTTCAAGTAGTTCTTGGGGAAATTTGGGAATCAGTGCAGTGGTTCCCCCCTTTTCGGGGGGGGGGGAATATTTCTGATCAAATTAAAAACAGGATTTATTCTGTATCTGTTCTATAAATCCACTCCTTTCTGCTTGGAAAATAAGAAAGTATTCCTGTATATTTCAGGACTGTCTACAACACTAGTATTACTGTACAGTTGTACTTTGGAAGTCGAACGGAATCTGTTCGGGAAGTCTATTCAACTTCCAAAACGTTTGGAGACCAAAGCGCAGCTTCTGATTGGCTGCAGCAAGAACATTTGGGTTCCAAAGAACGTTCGCAAACTGGAACACTCACTTCCGGGTTTGTGACGTTCAGGAGCCAAAGCGACAGCATACCAAGGCACAACTGTACTTGGTTTCACATTAGTATCAGGGCAGGACAGTGAAAGACAATAGTAATGGAACTGCAGACTTGTGAGGCCTTGTTTCCTTAAAAACTGAATTTACACAACTGCATCTGTTTATTCACACCCTGATGCTTGACTTTTTAAAGGGGAGGGGTCCTTATTTCAAACCAATGAAGTACTCAAGTTTAGCTTCTCATAAGCTATCAAGTACAGTGAGTGTATTAAGGTGCAAACTTGCTATTGGCTAAGTAATTAAAAATATTAAAGAGTTGGGTGGCAAAGCCTAGAGGAAAGGTAAGGTTTGTTGTGCAAAAAATTGCCATGTACACGACCACCCCACCAAGCCACAGGACATGAAATAAAAACCATACCAGATGAGTTCTGCTTTTTGTGGGGAAGACGACAATTAATAAATAAATAGCATAATCATACCCCCCCTTGCTTGCCATTTTTCTAAATTAGAAAGCCTGAAATGCTATAACATTTCCTTGCAGGGGGTTATTCCAGTCTCCTTGGTAATTTTGGTTGCCCTTTCCTGCTTCTATAAAATCGTTTCATGAGGCAGAGCTTCATCTTTTATTTTCGATCGTCTTCCCAACGATCCCCACCATGGATTTTGACTTTCTTTTCCACGACAGCCGCACACCGGAAAAAGTACTTTTGAGATTTCACATCAAAAGGGTTGTGGGGTAGCGCGGGAGCGAAGGCGGCGCCCGCCGCGGCGCCACCCGAAGCCTTGGCTTTGGTTAAGGCAGCGTCCTCGCAGCGATTGGCTCTTGTTTCTCCCTCCCACCCCTCTCATTGGGCAACCAGTCCCCACCCGCTAGAGCTGGTTGGTAGAGAAGGCCTCTGGGGCGGAGCCAGGATCCACGGGCCTGGCGAGTCGCACAAGGAACCGAGATGGCGGCGGCGGCGGCGCTGAGGCGAGGGGCGGCTGGCTGGGCCCGGCGCCGCTTCTTGGGAGGACTGTGGCAGGCGCGGCGAGGCTGCGCCGGAGCTCCGCTGGATGATACGGTTAATGGGCTGAGCGAGGAGCAGCAGCAGGTATAGCGGCGGAGCCCTTGCTGGGCTGAAGGTCGCTCGCCCGGAGCCTTTCTCTGCGCCTGCTCCGTCCAGACCCCGCGCAGGAGTCGCGCTTCAGAGCCGCGCTCCTCTTTGGACTCGAAGGGTCCCGCCCCGTCAGGTGCTGGCGCAGGGCCTTCTCCTGCGAAAGGCCAGTTCTCAATAACAGGGCTTTGCTCTGGACCATATGGAGCAGTGGTCGGAAAGACGCGAGCGCCTCTGAGCGCCTGCAGAGTGCCCGCTCCACCCCTCTCCTCGCCATTGGGTTTATCGTGTCCCCAAATTTCTAATACGGTGGAGGACGACTTCCGAGTTTGAAAGGGCAACTTGTAGGCAGCTCTGATCCCCTCTTCTTCCCAGCGCAGCAACTTTCTATTATTTCACAGGGCTGCCCTTTATAAGTTCCACAGCTGCAAGTCGGCCTGGACGTCTTTTATTCTAAATGAAAGGGTCCCTGTGTGAGATCTCATGTTGATGTGGACACAGATTTGCACCCTTAGCACAGCAGTTAATTCGGAGTAGCTGCCCTTTCTCATTTACAGTCACCATTGCAGATTAATGTTCCGCTCCTAAGTGATAAGATCACTCTTTTAATAGCCAGACGAAGTGTAGTGAATTGGTTTTCTTTCTCTTACAAAAATGCAGTTGTGGAGGCTGTGATCGAGCTTTTCTCCTCTTCTGGGTTTCCTATTAAAACAATTGCTTCCCTCCCACCCTTTCTCTCCTGCCCCCCCCAAACTTTGGTTAAGGGGGTGACAGCTAACAACCAACAGCAATAACAAAGCCACCAGATAGGAAGGAGTCAACACCCCCCCACACACACACCTTGTGACAGTCCTCTGCTTTAGATTGCAGATTCATTTGTACATGAAATACCTTTGGGTGGCAGTCACATGTAGTTTAGTTCAAAAGTTAGGGGGTATATGTTTTGTTCAGCTCTATCTGGAGAAACCTCTTAAAGCTACTAGATTCCAAAATGGCTCAGGTAACTAGATTTTCTTCTAGGATGGTGTAAGCCAGATAGCTCTCACAAGTTTTTTCAGTCAAGTAATAAGATAACAGAGCTTACCAGCATATAATTTTCCATATAAAGGAGGATATTTCCACTATCCCTATCCTTTCAAAAGCACCAAAGAATAAATAAAAGTGCCTTTAAGGGTGCGTGTCAGTTTCCACCAGTTCATTTTCTTCCTTTCTGTCTCCTTGAAAGAGTGTGCTGCTAGCCTTGGAAAAGGTGTTTTCTAAATCTTAGTCAGCGACTGGTAGCTGCTTACGGTCCTCGTGACACAATGGCACAAAGTCAAGGGAGGGAGTGTCTAAATTTCAGTTAGGCTCCTGCAGCACTGCTCTCTTCAGATGCAATTCTAAGTATGATTTCTTGGCAACTTAAATTGTACTGGAACCAGTAGGATTTCCAAGTAAATACATTGTCTGAGTTATTTCTATCCTGCCTTTCATGGCAAGCTCCCACAAGGCAGTTTGCAATGACTTTTAAAACCAGTACAATAAATAATATAGATCAAAAGCAGCATCTGATACAAATACATAAGGACTCGGCAATGAAATGAATAAAAGGTTTGTGAGGGGGAACATTTAGGGTCTGATTTGAAGGCCTGCAGAAGTGAGCCAGACTTGAGTTTGTGCGGGAGGGAATTCCACAGGTGTGTTTTAGGATCAGGTGGGTTGTCTCTTATGTTCTGGGATTACTGCTCAGTTGTAGAACGTACGTTTTATGTGAGTGCAGAGTGCCATCTGTGATTTGGGTTGCCTGTGCTGGAATTACCTCTGCTGGAAACCCTGGAGGGCCACTACCAGTTCAGAGAGGCAGGTTTGGAGAAGATACATAGCTGATGGGATTTAGTATATACTAGCTCCACTGTAATCCTTATAGTATACGGTGTGTGTAGCAGTGATGTAGCGAAACCTTTTATAGCTTATCAAGCAGTGATTTGGCTGTAAACCTCTCATGCTGCGTCCATCCATTTTAGTGCAGTTTGTTTCTCCTGTAAAAAGGGGGGCTAATGATACTTGATCATACAGGTTTTTAAGTGAGTTTTTAAAAAAGGAAGTCTGGATTATCCCCAAATGATAGTTTCTTATTACGTACTTACTAAAGCACCTCTTCCAATAGTAGCATTACAGAGCAAGTCCCAAGTCCCACATCAGTTAAGAAGAGGCTGAAATGTTCCTCTATTAGCGGACACTATTATATTTGCAGAAGGCTCTATGAATGTAAATCTCCCCTCAGTGGAAGACCTCAAAACAGGGTGTTTCAGGGCCAGTGACAGCCAAGGCCTTCTGCTTCTGAGGCTTCTCCATATTCCTGAGAGACCCCAGGATCCCATCCATCAGTTTGGCTCAGTCAGCAGTCTTGGGCCATGTATTGCATGCAGCATTCTTTAGAATGGCTCTGTGGGGTTTGATTTGGTTTTGCTGGCTTTGGGACTTTGAAATGTCACATTGCTTGCTTAGTTGAACATCACTTTTTCGGTGTTGGCATGCTTCATAGATAGGCCCAAGGGTAGTTGGGAATTAGTGTGAACTTCCTTCTACCCATCCACACACCCAAGTTCTTTTGGTATATTTTACCATAAAATATTTTAACCAGAGCCAACAAACGTCTTCATGTTACTAGGTAGGGGATAACTGTTTAAAAACCAGATTAAACCTATTTTAAAATATCAAGGGATATACATTGTAGACTAGACAGAAAATGCTTTGTCAGTAACTTCACAGGTTTCAGCTGCCACCATAGTTAGCGCTAAATAGTTTTATTGACAGTAAGTGGGAATTTAATAGAATATTCTACTCCGGGCTTGAGATCTCTAAAGAAAAACAGCTAGGGAACCTTTTTGATAGCATTCAAAGGAAGGAATTTAGCAATTGTGATTTATAATGTGCACTTTTACATTTTCATTTCTAACAGCTTCGGCAAACTATGTTCAAATTCTGTCAGGAGCACTTGGCTCCAAAGGCCCAAGAAATTGATCAGCAGAATGAATTTGAAGGCATGAGGGTAAGTGCTTCAGTACTGTGAACCTACTTATTATATAACATGACTTCGGGAGATGCATGAATATAATTTAAAGGATGCAAATATGAAGGGTTTGAGAAAGTTACAAAATGCCTACCCATTAGAAAGAATAAACAACTAAATCCATGAGGGAAAAGGACATGTATGCCATTCAGCAAGAATGAATAAAATATATATGTCTGGTATTGTTTCTGTCTTATTTTTCAAAGTTTTCCATCTCCTTTACCTGAAAGAGTGTGTAGCCTCTCCTGAACATATAAATCTTTTCATGGAACCTTCTTCAGGTTGTAAAGAGTTAACTGTTCCAGATGCTGGGTTTCTAGAATATGGGATTTAACAGATTCCCTCTTGCATTAATTGCTAATGAGCTAGAGATATTTTTATGGGACTTCCTGCTTCTCACTGTTTTTATAAGCCCTGTAGTACTTGGAAAGTTCATATGTACTAGAACTTTTATACCTGCTGTGTTTTACAGAGAATTACTTTAAAATGTTTGCAACAGCCTTTTATGGAATCAATTTTTGAGTGCTGTGGGACCTTGCAATTGAATTATATGGTGTCCTTCACCAGGATAGCTTGGAAAGGTAACCAGTTCTCAGAAGTACAGAAAGTAAACAAAATGACTACAGTTATTGGCAATTGTACCATTTCTAGAAGGTCAATCATGCAAAATAACCATTACCAGTAAGTTACTTTGTAAATAAGCCCACAAAGCCCAGGAGGGGAATTGTAATGGCCCGTTGGAGTCTGGAAAATGGCTCTGCCCACTTTCTGGCAGCCCACTTGCCTTCTAGGCTGGGAACAGAGAAGGGACAGGTGTCCTTTCTATCCTCTAACATAATTATGTAACTTCTCCTAGAGAAAGAAACTTGAAAAGCATAGATTAAAAGGTGACACTCCAGAAATCAAGGCTATCCGTCCTGACAATGTTCCAGGCCCAGAGAGCAGCTGTGCTGCAGTAAGGCGTTCGTCTAGAAAACCACTTGAGGACTACTGGAGTGTCAACGTATATAAGGCAGGGAAGTCAGTTCCCCTTCTCCATGTGCCTCCATCTTCCCAGGGCAGCTGGGACATTTATGAGACATAAATTCCTTCTTTGCCTTGTATATACAAGCAAAAGCCGTCCAATGAGTCCCTCCAAAGGGAAGGGCAGTAACTCAGCGGCAGAGCACATGTTTTCATGCAGGAGCTCTTGGTTTCAATCCCTGGTGCCTCCCGCTAAGCTTCAGCTGCTAAAACATCCAAGGTAGCAGGCTCAGGGCAAAGCTTTACCTGTGATCTTGTATAGCTGCTGCCAGTCAGAGTAGACATCATTTGGCTGGATGGACCAACAGCAGCTTTGTGTGAAGTTCAGTTGGGCATATCCCACACTACCAAAAGACCTGTCCTTTGCTGTTTCAGATTCTGGCTGGACAGGCAGAACTAGGGGGAAATCATTGTGAGATGTGCAGGAGGAAGAAACTCTTCCTGGATTCGAGCTGATGTGACAGAGGAGTGTCAAATACTGAGAGATCCCAGAAGCTGTTCTAAAAACAAAGTGTTCTGTTTTCTGAGCTGATCTCCTGATTATAAGTGGCTGGCTCCTAATTTGAAATGGTTTGGCTTAATAGTGCTATGGTTCCCTGTCACCCTGCCAGTGAGAAAAACCTGCTGGTGATTGGCAACCTGTCACATTTTTCAGTGTGTCAGGAATGTCTTGGGAAGATGAAGCATCACTGCAGAAGAGATAGGGGCTCAGCGGACAGTATGTCAGTTCTAGGAGATGAACACTGCTATTTAATTGGTTTTCCCCACATCAGAATAGTGACTCATAAGCAAAGGTCGATCTAAATGGTGATGTGCATGTAGAGCTACACTAAGTTGGGGGGAACAGTGCTGGTTTTATTGGACTGGAGGGACATCTGCTTGGAGCGAGATGAACTAAAAAGAGTGTTTATCAATTTTTTTGAACTCTTGCTCCTATACAAAATTACTATGCTTCTCCAAACCTGAGCCACCTCTTCAGCCAACAGTTGCACCAAATCCTTCGTTCTAGCAGCCACAAGTCTGCAGTTCAATGCTGTACAAGTAAGGATGTGTGGATTGATTCAACACTGACATTAAAAGAAGATTATAATAGGGAAACACAAGTTTCCTTTCTAAAACCAGTTAGCTAACCAGGGAAGGAAGCAGGAGGAGAAACCTGTTTTGCTCCAAAGTTCGCAGATGTTTTGGTTTCTACAGTTAGATCATCTCTGGCTATCTTTGTTGTACAGTAAGCCCACAACTGATGTCCATTTAACTTGGTGCACGTTCAGCTTTATGCATATGGGAGGGAATTTAAAAGTGGGCAGGGTTCCTGGAAAAATGTTGTTGGCAATCCCAGCTGCCCTGTTTAGGGAAGTTTATAGTGTTTGGTTTTTTATCATGTTTTTCATATTCTGTTGGGAGTCGCCCAGAGTGGCTGGGGAAACCCAGCCAGATGGGCAGGGAATAAATAATAAAACTATTATTATTATTATTATTGAACCCAATGGGTTTTGACTATATGAAATTTTGGCTTTAGGTGTAATCCACGGAACATAACTCCCACATAGGTTGTGAGCTTACTGTATAATCCAGTCCCTTCATTTCTCCTCCTGTGTCTTGTGTTGCCCCATCCCACAGAGACTTTTATAGCAGATATGTGACACATGTTTTGACTACCTGGGATCACCTTGTGGAAACTAATGTGTATAGACTCCTTTGATCTTGGTGAGCTAATGATTGTCTGCAAAATGATGGCAGAGTGCTTGTTTTGAGCTTGCACCAGAAATGCTATCAGGTTGGGTTGCAGAAGAGCCACATGTCTGGAGCCATGTACATTGATGGTGCTATATAAATGCTTATAATGTTCATCACATTCGTGTAATGCAAGCTCATGTGTTAACTTATTTAGGATTATAGAGTCCATCATTCTGATGGCTCTAGCTGGGCAGCAGCATGGAAAAAGTTGTTTAATTTTTTTAGTATTTCTTAATTTTTATGGAACAAATCTTTAGTGGATGTGAAGTATTCAAGGTGGCTGTGACCTGCTGTTTCGCAGCAGGTTCCATGACAACCATTATTTTGCCCAGCTTTTTGCTTCTGTGGGAATATTAAAATGATAAATTCAGGGAGATGATGAAAAAAAAAACCCTGGTTCCTGGTCTTGTGAAAGGTCAGGGTCTCTCTAACAGCTTTGCTCTGCTCTTTGTAGGCATTCTGGAGGAAGTTGGGTGATCTAGGTGTTCTAGGAATAACTGCTCCAGGTGAGTGTGTAGCTAGCCCTGCCTTCCTCATTCTGACGAAATATGGTATATTTAAGTAGGAAATGCTGCAGTTAGTAATGTCTGTGAATGAATAATTGGAGAGCAAGGGCTTGAGGGGAAAACAGACCTGATTAGCTCACTGGCAATTTGTCAAAGGCCAAGGCTGCTGAGGTCTAAAAGAATACCTTATGAATGACATGTCTTCTATATGGATATTGCCTTTGTTTGGAAATAACGTGTACTTTTGTTACATGTGACAAACATGCGTGCCTATGATGGAGCATGCACACAAAGGGAGCCCTAGTTGGTGGATGTTGCGTGCGCCCCTAGGAGTTAGTCATATGAAATATCTCCCACCATTTCCCAAAGTTGTAACTGTGTAATTCATTCATCACTGCCTGCTCTCTTTGCTTCCCTCTGACTTCACTACTGCCCCACCTCCTGACGGTATGTGCATATATGCCTGCCAGTTTGGGTACAAGGAAGCCTATGGTGTTCTATATCTTAACTGTGTCACAAGGCTCTTCGACTGTGGTCTAGGTAAGTCTATAATTTTCTTCTTCTCCTTACCAGCTGAATATGGTGGCTCTGCAATGGGATACCTGGACCATGTGTTGGTGATGGAAGAGATTTCTCGGGCTTCCGCAGCTGTTGGGCTGAGCTATGGCGCCCACTCTAACCTCTGCATCAATCAGATGGTGAGGAACGGCAACGAAGCACAGAAAGAGAAGTACTTGCCCAAGGTATGTGGAATCTTGGAGTCTGGTGTATCCAGGGAGCCAGAAGCATGCTGGGTAACAACTTCAATTACAGAACATGTTTCTTAGAGCAAAGGAAAATAATGCTCCAGAATTGGACACTTTGCCCCCATCGTTTTATTTAAAATTTAATTTTATATTTCCAAGCATTTATTTATTATTGAATTTCTAGTTTGCCCTTCCTCCCAAAGGCACCTGGGGTGGCAGATATAAAAAAAAGATTAAATAATATAGTTAAATTTAAGAAAAACCATCTAAAACATTATTAATGAAAAGTCATTTTTTAAAAAAACCTGAACTCAATATCTTAAAAAAAAATAACTTCTGTTTTGTTGCTACAAGTAAAAGCCACAGATCTTTGAGAGAAAAGACTATTGGTTTGAAATCCAAATGTGCAATGAAAGCTTAAGTACATTTACTCCAGAGCAAGTTCCACTGAGTTACATCGGACGTATTTAGAATTGCATTTTGTTGAACCAGACTGGCATCCGCCTCCCACCTTCGGCTTGGAAGGTGCAAGCTGGAAAAGTCTGCATTCTTGGCTTTGGTATCCCTCTGCCTTTTTCAGAATTTAGTTTAGAATAGTTAACACACACTATTAAGTAGAGGCAGGAATGGCATCTGGATTTCCATAAGGTTGATTAACACATGCAAGTTGATCACTTGGTGGATGATCTGTCACAGAGCAAACGTGAATGTTTCATATTCATAAACTTGTCAAACATCATGCTTTTCAGTGGAGTCGGTTCACATACCCAGCTCTGAGTCATCACTATTCGAAACTGCCTTATGTGTTTCATCAGGAGCAGGGGAAGCTGTTGTCATATCTGTCATATAGCACCAGACGCACTTTGGCCCCCTGTAGTGAGTCCTAATTTGTTTCTAAAAATTCAAAACTTGAGACTGGTCCGACATGCTCTGTACACAAGGGTATTTACCAGCTTCTCCTGCAGCTTGTCCTTTGCTGCCATGGATGGTCTGTGGCTAGTTTTGGGAAGAAGAGGAAGCACTCAAAAGTCATGGGATGCTTCTGCTGACAGAAAGCAGGTTGAAGAAGGCCCTGGCAGCATCATCCTCTGTTGTGCCCTTAAGAACAAACCAAAACTTCAAGGATACCTCAATCTCTCTGTGCCATTTGGCACACAAGAACACTCCCTGCCCCCCATGAGCAATTTCCAGTGCGATAGTAAAAGCACTAAAAACAGCACAGTACTATTAAAAGCCCTTTCCTTAAGAGCAGTCAGTTCCCAAAGGCCTGCTGGAATAAACAGTCTTCACCTGCCAGAGGATGTGTATAAGAAGACTGTGATGACTAGGAAATGTAGGGTTTTCCAACTGTTGTTCTTTTATAAGGGTCTACAGGGGCCACATGAAACAGGGTTTTTATTTAGTTGGGGGTGAATTACGATGGAACCCGATTTTGCCTTTTTTGATTTTATAAATACATTCCTTTTTCTTAATCTACTACCGTCACCCAAATGAATGAACAGTTTCCACTTCTATATCTAATAAACAGCCTTTGCCCATCTGAGCGCAGGATGAAACTTGTGTGGTTTGAATCTCAGTAACCTGAGACACTTGTACTCAGCATCCCATTATATATTTGAAATCATAAATCATTATTAGTAGAGGGGTGTTGCGGTTGGCCATTCATAGCAAAGTGATTGGCTATGAAATCTAGTTCACGTGTAAACCAAAGAAGTTTGAAAGGGAATGGACTGTGTGTGGGGAGAGGTGGACAGGAGGAAATTGATGGGGGGGAGGCAGCAGCTGTTGTGCCAGAGGGTGGCGTAAGGGAGCCCAAAAGGAGGGTCACCACCTGCTATTCCATTGCAAGGGTCAAAGACTTTAGTTTATTGCCTACCATTCTGGCATCTCACCCCATTCCCCTGATTTATTCCAAACACTGGAGATTCTTGTTCTTTGTGAATTGCCCTTTTTCCAAGTGTCTTCAAACCATCTATCCCGTCCAATCATCCATTTTCAAAGGACAGCACAGGATAGGGAATTAAGAGGGACATCTATATCCCCTAGCACAGTTTGCTTGGCACTCTCTCTTACCTAAGGAATCCAACTAAAACTGTAGGTTTTCGTTTGCCACGTCCTTGTGAAACTGCAATTTTTGTGCCATTTCTTAAATAGTAGACCTCATTGGAGAATTCTGCCAAAGGTAGTGTCCCCACCATAGCATGAAAAAACTTTCAGGTTTATTGTGATCTGTTGTTTTTTAAGGCAAGAGTGGGAACGACTGCAGGAAAACAATTCATTTTGTATCTTTCTTGTCACCTCTCGTCCCTTCAGTTGATCAGCGGGGAGCATATTGGAGCACTAGCAATGAGTGAATCCAATGCTGGTTCTGACGTTGTCTCTATGAAGCTGAGGGCAGACAGAAAAGGTAAATGCCACCGATTTGGAATTTGTCACCTACAGTGGCCTTTGGGATATTGCCGTTTCAGAATTTCTGATCCTCTGTGCATTTTGTTTTGTCCATTCATTGCCAACACAAGTCTGTGTGTGTCTTTGCATCCTCCCAAACAGAATAGCCAGTGTGGTCTAATGGCTGGAGTGTCTGAAGACCTGGGAGACCAAGGTTCAAAACCCCACATGGCCATGACGCTCACTGGGTGACCTTGGGCCAGTTGCTCTCTAACCTATGTCACAGGGTTGTGTGGGGATTAAGTGTACACCACCTTATGCTCCCTGGAGAAAAAGATGGGATATAAAATGTGGTAAATAAATAAATTAAATAGCAGGAAATGGAAAGGTGCAAGATGGGCATGAGCAGGCCAGAGGTTCCACACCCCAATTTCAGCTTCATTGGGATTGCTAAAAGGCAGGAGTGGAGAAGACAAATTTCTGGTTTCCAGAGGTCCCATGGCCTTAAAATAGAGATTAAGTGGTATTAGGTACAAGAGCTGGGGAAGAAACTGTGTATGTAGAAGCCGGGTTGAGAGACAAAAACTCCAAAGTTAAGGGAGTGTGTGATGTAAATTACACTATTCAAGATACACTGGCCTGTAGGCCAGGCATCCTGTTGTGAATATTTTGAGAACCAATATATATTTTAGCATGTATTTATTTACGAAAATTTATTATATAGTGCTTGATACAAGTAAAATCTCTAAGTAATTTACAAGAAATATTTAAAATTATGAATAAAAAACCAGTTAAAAGCAATTTGAAACATTTAAAAATAATTAAAAAATAATATTCAAAAAAGCATCAAATTGCATCAGCATCTGCAAGTCTGGACAGCCTTGCCTAAACAAAAATGTTTTAAGCATGTTTCTAGCCCTACTATTCAAGAGAGCTGGCTGGTTATAGAAGAAGCCAGCTATAAAACTGAGCTGTGTAGTGTCTGTATTATTTTTTTGCAGTCGATGATGCAGCTCTGCAAGTTTTTCTTTTTCTTTTTTCTTGATTTGCCAAACCTAGGGATGGAGGAAATCAGATTTCCAGAAACTGAGAAGAATTACTTGTGGAATGTCAAGCTGTCATGTGGGTCTTAACAGAATTTTCTGCTTGTTTCATCCTTTCTAGGAGATTATTTTGTTTTGAACGGGAACAAATTTTGGATTACCAATGGTCCAGATGCTGACGTCCTAATTGTTTATGCTAAAACAGATCCAAGTGCTGTTCCAGCTTCTCAAGGGATAACAGCATTCATTGTGGAGAAGGTGGGTTTATGGGACAGTGATGCTCCCTCTTTTTATCCCCAAGGAAGATCTTTTCCAGGTGGTGTCTGGTCACTCAGGTGTGAGATTTCTTTGGGGGCGACAAGTCATGCTTTTGTTCCTACCCCTTGACTTGCACTTCAGAATGAATTCAAAATTCTTCCCTGCTGAATGAATCTACAATGGTTGCTGAAGTAAGCTGTAGGCAGGTGATAGCACTTGTCGTTCAGAAGTTTGCCGTGCTGCTCTGTGGCACATGGAACAGAGCCAGGGAATCTGTGCTGATGTTCCCTGAAAGTTCTGGGCCAATGCCACATTTGGGTCCCTGTGAGGAGAGGATTCTCCTGGGCCAGCTCTACAGATGGTAAAGTTGGATATTTGGCCAGACACCAGAGCCAGCAAAGAACCTGCCATCCAGTATTCCACTTTGAGAAAAGACACGGGGGCTCAGGTCTGCCTGGAAACAACAGAGATCGCTCTGATTGGGGTGTTCGTTCCCTAATATCTGAAGCTCTTGACTTGATGATGAAGGAAATAAACTTGGGTTTATCTGTAGGCACTTTCATGTTTTCTTCTTATACTGAATATTTTAATCCTCTCCCTGCCTGCTTATCCTCTGAATTGTCATGCAGTATGCCATCATTCGACCGGCCTCTTTATAAAAAATGGATTTTCCCAGTAGTTTTTTCTCCCCTTTTCTTCAGGGTACACCTGGTTTCAGCACCGCACAAAAGCTTGATAAACTGGGAATGAGAGGGTCAAATACCTGTGAATTGGTCTTTGAGGACTGCAAGATTCCTGGTGAGTGATACTGAAGTGGCGCTGCCTCCCTCAACCCATGGCAACTCTTTCAAATGTTCAAATATGTGTACAATGAAAAGTTAGGAAAAAATAAAACCCAACATGAAAAGCATATGTTATTAAATAGTTCAAGCAAGTGATATATGAAAGCATCATCAAATCTACTTGGCTCATCATTAGTTTTGTTTTGCAATATTAATCTTATCGAGCTTGTCCAGAAAGGAAGGTCTTAATTGTCCCTTGAAGGGGGCAAGCTTGTGGACCAAGACTGAAGGTGATATTACTGCAAGGCCATCAGTTGAAAGACTAGCCAGGATAGGCTACCACATTTACACTTGCTGTGGCTGATTTCTGTCCCATGGGAAAAGCCAAGATTTCTTCCTTGGTTCCCTTTGTGTGGTGGCAAGTTCTTCCCCAACCACCCTCAATTTGCAGGAGTTACTGAGAAGCTCCAGGACTGAGAGCCAGTGTGGTGTAGTGGTTAAGAGCGGTAGTCTCGTAATCTGGAGGACCGGGTTTGCGTCTCCGCTCCTCCACATGCAACTGCTGGGTGACCTTGGGCCGGTCGCACTTTTTGAAGTCTCTCAGCCCCACTCACCTCACAGAGTGTTTGTTGTGGGGGACGAAGGGAAAGGAGAATGTTAGCCGCTTTGAGACTCCTTAAAGGGAGTGAAAGGCGGGATATCAAATCCAAATCCAAACTGATTGCTTGCCCCCTCTTTCCCAAGGACACACTTCTCAGAAACACCAATTAAATGGCTGCTGGGCTGCCATTTTTCCTTACAGTCTGCTTCCGATCCTTCCAGTGTGCTCTCGTGGCCACAAGCTCCCTCTCCTCAGCGGAAGAGATTAGTAGCAGTACCAAAGAACGCGTGTTCTTTTTGAGACTCCCTCTGATCTCCCAGGACCACTTCAATCGTTGCTCAGTGTCGAGCCTGCTTCAGTAGAATCCTGCATCTCCAGTGCAACATTTCCCTTAGATCAGAGTGTGCTTTTGAGTGTTTGCCACCCGCTCTGCTGTATTAGCGTGCGGGTTTGTCATTGGCACTCCACCAAGTGTTGCGCAGGTTCCTTTGATCGTGAGTGCTGCCCCACGGAGTCCCACTCTTAGGTCACACAGCAATGGTCAGGAGCGGATTTGGAAAGCTCATCTTGTATTTTGCCCGAGGCGTAATTGTTGAAGGTACATTCAGGGAATTCAGATGCAGCTCTTTCCTTTTTTTGTTTTTTGTATTTCACAAGGAGTTACTTCATGCAGTTTCTCTGTTCAGCAGCATTACTCATGCTATTTGCCAACTGTTTGTTGTTGTTGTTGTTTTAAAATTTTAATTCTGTGCTCCCACCCATGAGCCCCATGCTTCCTTCCTCGGTCCCTGCAGGTTGGGAGGAGAAATCCAAATTCATCAATTAAGATCGGTATGTGGTATGGAGTAACACCACTGATTCAGGCACCATTTGCAGTGCAGAAATTGATACAGTACTGGCCTCATGTTCATGGGATGCCAGCACATGCAGGAAACAACACTGGCTTAGTGTTATGTCTGAACCAGCGATCCTCTTTTGCTCCCTACAAACCATGATCTCAAGCTAAGGTTTGTACTTGGCTCACGGATCATGAGTTGTTGGAGCAAAACGAATCACAGTTTGGATATAATGCCAAGTCTGGAATCATCATTTCCTTCTTGTGAAGGAGGAGCAAACTGTTGAAGACCAGCGCTTTTATGGTAAACCATTAACTATGGCTTCCCATAATGTGTGAACAGGGTGAAAAGGTTGGCTTAAGTCAACTGAATGCATATGTATGCCAAATTTTGTAATACATATATATGTTAGTCTAGAACTCGGAGTCTCCTGTCTGTAGCAGGCACTTGGAATCATGCTGCGTTCAGCACTCTGATCACCAACAGATTAAAACACGTTCCCATTGAAGCTAATTCATGCATAATTTGATCTGTCCCTTAGTAACGATGCCAAGATGTAGGCCATAAACACACTTAGCTGTTTTGTGCAAGGTACATGAGCAACTGAGATCGTGTTGCTGCTTTCTCTTTGTTTATGTTGCTTGAAAATAAAAAGTGATGTTTGAGTGTAAGGTGTAACTGTGTTTGTGCTTATATACCTGGGCATACTCCTATGTGAGCACACATACATAGACGCACAAGGAACACACTATCTAGGATTGTGTAGGTTCGCCAGGAATCAGCTTTCCCTTTCTCCTCACAGCTGCGAATGTCTTGGGGCAACTGAGTAAAGGAGTCTATGTGTTGATGAGTGGCTTGGATCTGGAGAGACTTGTGTTGTCTGGTGGACCCTTGGGGTAAATATGTATTTATTTATGACTCTAGTGACATGGCTTGTTGTGCTTCATTGGTTCTATTAATTCATGGAACCGCCACCACTTTGATGGCTGGAGAGGGGTGCTCGTCTTTTTATGAACTGGTGACCTCACACAACTGCTGTGCCACAGGACAGCTTGAAAACGGCTGTGGTAATTGTGCAAATCCCATCAGCTATGTGGATAGTCTGTTTAGGCACGGCAGATATTTTGCTCTCTAATGAGAGGACCTGCCCTTCTCCCTGAATGTAGAGATGCCATGGGATTCTCCCTGACATGAAACTCTTGCCTTTGGGAATCCTTGAAAAGCAGCGAGGCCTTGGCTAGGTCTTAAGGCCAGCCAGAGTTTGTGGACCCTGGGTTAATACTATTGCCAACTACAGAGTAGAATGCCCTGTGGCATATTTTTTGCCCCTTTTATTTTCAATATCCAACCTGATGGAGACTTTTGATTTAAACTGAAAGCTTCCCCCTTTCTTTGTAGCTTCTTAGTGTGTTCTAATAAGAGTAGGATTACAGGCCTTGGATCACAGAGGACTCTGTCCTTTTGGCCAATACTACCTACTACATAGGGACGCGGGTGGCACTGTGGGTAAAAGCCTCAGCGCCTAGGGCTTGCCGATCGAAAGGTCGGCGGTTCGAATCCCCGCGGCGGGGTGCGCTCCCATTGCTCGGTCCCAGCGCCTGCCAACCTAGCAGTTCGAAAGCACCCCCGGGTGCAAGTAGATAAATAGGGACCGCTTTCTAGCAGGAAGGTAAACGGCGTTTCCGTGTGTGGCTCTGGCTCGCCAGAGCTGCGATGTCACGCTGGCCACGTGACCCGGTAGTGTCTCCGGACAGCACTGGCCCCCGGCCTCTTGAGTGAGATGGGTGCACAACCCCAGAGTCTGGCAAGACTGGCCCATACGGGCAGGGGTACCTTTACCTTTACCTTTACTTACCTACTACATGGACCAGCAGCAGCTTTTGAGGATCTCAAGCAGAGAGGCCTTTCCCATCACCTGCTACCTGGTCTCCATGGTGACCCTATTAACTGGGGTTGCCAGTGATCTAATATAGGATCTTCTGAATAGATTAGTGCCACCACTAAACTGGTCCCTAACCTACTATGACTTCTGGATTTATTTAATTATTTTTAGTGGACAAACAGAGCTACATGCATTTGTTAAAATTTACAGGTTTCTCTATGGCAGGAGTTGTTATCCTATCCAACCATCCATCTATCCATCTAAACATACCCATGTGGGTATTGCAACATCTCCTTTGTGACTTTTTCAGTTTACCTGTAGGCTACTTTTTATTGTTATTCCTGCTTTTGCAGCTCCTTTAGTTTTTTGGTTTTATGGATTGTATTTTGATGATGATGTTTTTGTTGACTCTCTATAAGCCATGTTTTCAAAGGCAGGATGAAAATCTTTAAAATCTGCATGCCTCTTTCCCTTGCAGGATCATGCAGGCTGTCCTGGACCATGCACTCCCATATTTACATGTGAGGGAAGCTTTTGGGCAGAAAATTGGCCATTTTCAGGTGAGAGCCATAAGAGGGTTGCCAGTGAACTTTTAGAGCCTGCTTCCTTTTACAGTTGGATAGCTGGTTTTGGATCGATCTCTCTTCCTCAGATAAATATTTCCACCTAAAGGTGTGATGCTGTTTCCTAACAAGCAGTTCTGAAGCTAACCATTTCCCCCAAGTTCCTTTTTAGTTGCTGGCTGATTTTAAAGTAACACTGAAATGTCTCCTATTGCTAGAACCTCATGATAATGGGCATTCAGAAATTTAGGACTTAGGAAAAATCCAGGGTTTGGTTTCAATTTGCTGATTATGGCAGCTGATGTTAGCTTTGAATAATCAGGTAATTATTTCAACTTTAGTTGGATTTGGAATTGCAGTGTGCACTACTGGATGCTTGTCTTGTCTTTTTAGTGGTCAACCAAACTCTCTTTTTTAAATATATAGGCAGGTATGTTTAAGTCTGGGTTTTTAAAAATAGGATCCAGGTTGCTGCTGTCCAAATGCTAAATGTATGCAGCAAGCCCGCAATTTATGTGCATTTAACTTGTGCACATTCAGCTTTACGCATGTGGCAAAATAAAAAAATAGATGCCGTAAATAAAGGGGAGGAGGAAATGACTGGCAATCCCACTTGCCATTGAACCAGTGGTACCTCTGGTTACGATCCTTATTCGTTCCAGCGGTCCGTTTTTAACCTGAGATACCGCTTTAGTTAATGGGGTCTCCCACTGCCGCCGCGCGATTTCTGTTCTCATCCTGAGATAAAGTTCTTAACCCAAGGTACTAGTTCCAGGTTAGCGGAGTCTGTAACCCGAAGTGTTTGTTACCTGAGGTGTTTGTAACCTGAGGTACCACTGTATACATAACTTTGACTTTCGGCACTATTCCCGGAACATAACCCCTATGTAAGTTGCGGGCTTCCTGTAACTTTTAACTTAATGATTTTTATTGATTTCTTTTATGTGTATATACTTGTTGCCATCTTAATTGTTTTTATACTAAGGATAGCAGCAAGGGGTGATAAAAATTGTGAAAATAAATCCAAACCTCTCTCTCTCTCCTTATGCTCTGATTAGCTCATGCAGGGTAAAATGGCTGATATGTACACACGGCTGATGGCTTGTCGACAGTATGTGTACAATGTCGCAAAGGCCTGTGATCGAGGACACTGCAATGCAAAGGTGAGCTCATGGGTGCTTGCGACATTTCTTTTTGACCCTTCTGTATTTTGTGTAAGCAGGAGGGGTGAAGAATCAATAGGGTAAGAGACTTAAGTCCACAGCAGAAAATATATGATGTTTTGAATACACTCTTAAAGGAGAAGAATAATTCCTTGCCCACCTGGCAATGGCTTTCCTTTTGCGTATAGATGCAGCATGAGAAGTTGATGTGGTACTAGAATATTGTGCCACTTGCTTTTGCCACTAATATCATAGCTTTCATGTGCTCATGATGACAACCTAATAGGATGGACAACGGAAGTGCTGTCTCTTATCTTAAATTCCATGTGTACCTAAACTCAGTGTAGCATGAAGCCATGAATGTTATGGTTTCTGTTGCAATTTGCAGGTGGGTGGGGGTAGTCAGAGCTTAAGGGATGCATAACAGTGCCCTCATCTTGGAAGAAAAGGTGGGTACTTGTTGGTAACCATGGTGCGAATTCGAAATCTGGTTTAGCTAGAAAGACGGCTGGCTTAGACAATTCTGCCAGTCGCTTGTGGGGGGTTGGGGCCAGAAGAGCTGAACGTCTGTCTTGGAAGTTCTTGATTGAAAATGATCTTATCTGCCCCACCAGGACTGTGCAGGAGTGATTCTCTACTCTGCGGAATGTGCTACACAGGTCGCTTTGGATGGAATTCAGTGTCTGGGTAAGATCACAGATGTGCATGTGGTTGTCCCACCAAAAGGCAGGCTGACCTAGCAGGCAGTTGCGCAATTTCATGCCATCTTCTTGTTACCCTGGTTTAATCATGGAATTGGGAGCAATTATTACTAATATTAATAACTTTGTGCCCCACCCACCTGACTGGGTTGCCCCAGCCGCTCTGGGCTAACAAGTGACTTCCATTTCAATGATTTCCATTTTGGCCAAATTCAGCATTCATCATCCCACAAGCTGCTGCCCCCAGGACCCAGTCTGCATCCAAGAGCTCTGTCTCTTGTTAGACTTTAAGGCTGCCTTCTTGTGTTGCAGGTGGAAACGGCTACATCAATGACTACCCCATGGGTCGCTTTCTGCGCGATGCCAAACTGTATGAAATAGGCGCAGGAACCAGCGAGGTGCGGAGAATCATCATAGGCCGGTCGTTTAACGCTGCCTTTAAGTAGCGCTGTCGTTCGAGGAGAATCACACTTCAAACCGAGAGGCCTTTTATTTCTAAGACTGTAAAGCGCACAAGCATTTTTCCGCTCCCGCTACCAGAATGATCACCTCCACTTATCTCTCGACCTTCTGTTCTCAATGCAAACCCAACTAGATTCCCTAAGCACATGCGATTGCATTACAATTACAGTGGAATACAGTAGGAAGCTCAAGTGGCATATGTGGATATCTGCCAACATGGCTTGCTTAGAAAGGGAGAAATTTTGTACACTTTAAAAAAGATTATCAGTTTTGTGAACTATTGAAGTAGATTTTTCTCTCTCCAGAACGCGGTGTTTTTAGTGAATGGGATTAGCAACATGGTGTTCTGTTGCATCACACCTCCAGAATGCTGGGGTTCTTTTGCATTTCATGGGATCAGCCACCCAAGCAGCATTAAGGCTGCTGCTGAAACATTGGTAACATGGGAGGCATGCATTTTTGTTTGTTCCTATCCTCTCTTGCTGCTTACTGAGGTATATTAATACCCTGCGAAGCCTTCATTCATTTGATGGACTGCCACCTCATGCTTGATTCATGCGGTGATGTCACCACCTATCATTCTGGAAGCAGTTAAAATGTCAAAACACTACAATGTGCCGGCCGAGAGTGAATTGGGGAGGAGGCGGAGGAGGCAACTTGACTGGGGAATGTTAGGTGCTTTTGCAAAGCTTCCCCTTGGTGAACATGGCTGCATGTACACTTTGCTCTGCCTACTAGAAGAAACGAAAGCTCAGCTGATGGATAAGACGGGGTGGGATCTAGCGGTGCTTTACACACCATCATATGAGGACTGAAAGGTTTTTGGTTTTTACTGGGTGGTAAACAGCGTGACACAATTTCCAAAGATGTTAAAGTCCAGGCAAAAACAGAAGTTGACTAAGATTTAAAATGGTTGTCGGTGGCTGGATTATTGTCTTCACTTTCATTGAGTTCTCTCTCTGGGCAGTACCTTACCATGAACTTTTAGGCTGATCCTGCACTGTCCACATAAAGGATGGAAAGGGAGGCAAGATCATGAAAACCAGCAGCTTCCAGCACTTGGGCTCTATTCATCTTAGACTAGTTCATGAAGGGATTGGCATGGCTTGAATGTAACGGAGAACCAGTATGCTAGAACACACAAGGTTTATGTTGGTAAGCTGATCGTAATAATTCAGTCTTCCTCATACAATGCATTAAATTTTCTAACGAGAGGGGGTCCTTTCACGGCAAGCAGATGTCCTTGCATCAGTCAGACTTCCTTTTATTTTCCAGTTTTATATACCACTTTTCACCCAAGTGATTTTGAAGTGGGTCACATAGGTTATTATGTGCCAGAAACAGCAAACAGGACCAGGCACTGTGGGACAGAAAACATCAACCCCACAAACATCTAAAGCTCAAATAAATTGTGGAAGCCCTTCAGATCTGATGGGGTCATGGGGAATCTTGATTAGTAATTGGTAACCCGGTCAACTTTTTTCAGACCCAAGACACATCTTTAAATCCCATATGCGCAACGTAGGATTGACTTAAAAGCTTTTACTGTTTATGTACAACTTTCCCCTTTCTTCTTAATAAACTTTTTTAAAAAAGGAGGTGGTGACAGCACTTGATGGTTGAACTGGACCTTGAAGGTGGAAATCATGACAATCTCGTTGACCATTCAGAATGAGAATAGCCTTGGAGCATAGCATATTTGGTCTTCAGTGTTATTTAAGTCTCACAGAGACTCTGAAGACACCACCTTTCATTTTATAAGATAAGTGGTGGATGGACAAAAGTTGGCAGCATTGCACACTGTCAAACAAATTGTCCATCTCTCAGCATACATGTCCCATAAAAATTCATGGAATCTTTGCATCTCTCAATCACATTAGATTCTGCAGCCTTCTGCCTCATTTTCAGAAAGTATCTGTTAAAGGGCAGTTATTGGAAGAGAGACACAGATAGAGGAAGTGTTTCTAAAGAGCAGGGAAATGTTGCTTTTTACCCATTTTGAAATCTGAATTGAAGCAGGATTGTTTATACATCATCAAATGTGGTAGCGGGTTACAGCTTTATCACCCAACTTTGTCCAAAGCTCCATTGAAGTGAGTGTAAGAGTTGAATAATACAAAGGAACGGACTCAACTCGGGAGGTTGTGGTCTCTCCTTCACTGGAGGTTTTTGAGCAGAGGTTGGATGGCCACCTGTCATGGATGCTTTAGTTGAGATTCCTGTATTGCAAAGGGTTGGACTAGATGATCCTTGGGGTCCTTTCCAAGTCTACAGTTCTATGATCCTTAACACTCTGACTTCTAAATTTGCTGCCTGGCGCTTGGGTGAGCTTCTTCACAGAAGTGTTAAGATGGAATCCGTAATTCTTCTGGGAGATTGCTAATAAAACTCTGGATGTATCCATAAGTCAATGTGATTGAATGTATTGAGTGGTTTATTCAAAGGGTTCTTTCCAATGTAATGTGAAACATGGAGAAATTGCTGACTAACGGATGGCTTTGTTGAATGCATTAATGTTGATTAAACTATTGCAGTACAAACGAATATATGCCCCCTATTCATGTATCAGCTATTAGCATGCTCCAGTATGCCCAGCAGGAGGCAGGTAGAAACTTCATGTGCTTCTTAGCATTAAATCACCACAACTGTGAAGCAAACCTCTCCCAACCAGTACATCCTGTATGGGTGAAACTGGTGTGTATGTTGGGGAGGGGTTCACTTTTTTAGCTGCAATATTCCTTCCTTCACAACACATTGGGCAGATACAGGGACCTTTGATCACTGGGGAGTCATAACCAGCAGCAGGCATTATATAAGGCCAAACTACCCAAACATGTCTTTCTACTGTTGCATTATGTAGATTAGTGGCCATTTTGCTAATCCTATTGTTGCCAGATGCACTGCTTTTCACAAGATGCACCTTCATAATTACTGTGTTGGGAGGATGGGGCCACAGGGAGTTGACAAGAGAATGCCAACCTTATTTAATGTTTTTAGATTTATGGCTGGACTGGTGCAAGAACCTGTCGTTAGGCCTTGGGCCTGGATTCGAACGCTTGCTGCAGCAGGGAGGGGTAATTTGCAAAATTCTCTCTCTGTAAAAAGGGATTACCTTTCTCATAACTGGGGGCCTAGTTTGTAATCTAAATTACCAGGATCTTTAACTTAATTGTGTAGGAGCCAGGTATACCACCAGCTTTAATTGTGAATTTTTTGCCCTGTTACACTTTGCAGGCAGCCCCAAGCAGTTTCTGATGATTCTCATTATTGCAAGTACAATGGTACCTCGGGTTACAGACGCTTCAGGTTATGCGATTTCGGGTTGCGCACTGCTCCGAACCCAGAAGTACCGGAACGGGTTACTTCTGGGTTTCTGTGTTCGCGCATGTGCACAAACACTAAATCACACTTTGTGCATGCGCAGATGCGGCACTGCGGGTTGTGAATGTGCCTCCTGCACGGATCACATTCACAACCCGAGTTTCCACTGTACAGCATGAGACTCTTAATATCAGGGTCTTGGGTTCGAGTCCCACGTTGGGCAAAAGATTCCTGCCTTGCAGGGGGTTGGACTAGAAGACCCTCGTGGTCCCTTCCAACACTACAATTCTATATGACAGAGAATTTTTCACCAACTTACCAGCAGATTGGTGGTCACCGTTTCCCCCTGAGGCTAGCTCCATGCAACTTGTATTAAACCGAATGTGTGTGTACTATGCAGGCAGTGGCAGCCCAAGCCCATTGAGACAGGTAGGGCAGAAGGTAAAGAGGACAACAGTAGATGGAGCCAGATGCAGTGGCTGGCAGAGCCAACTAATTCAGCTGGACAGCTGAGGGGCAGGTAATAGCTCTCCTTTCCCTACTCCCTGCCCTTGTTGCAGGATCACGCTTGCTCTCGGGGGCATCAGTGTGCCTCCTGCACCCTGCGGCTCACTGACAATGGCCGGCGCTACCCCTTTCTGAGGAATTGCTGTGCTGAAAGATTAGGAAGAGGGCTTCACTTCAGCATAAAGGAGCTAACAGCTGTGAAGAGAAGACAAAAACATCCTTGAGCGAAGCAGACAATATTGTGCGGGGTGGAAAGAGGAGTGGGGATTACCGTTAGCAGAGCTGCGATCTCTCTTTCTTGCACCTGCTGCTTGCTGAAAGGCTGATGCTGGGGCCCAGTTGTCAGCCGCAATGAAAAAGAAGCCTCTAGTCCAAGAAAAAGGCAGGCAGGCCATCCACACAGGCAGGGCCAAGAGCAGAGGGGAGGGAGAGGAAACGCAACATGTGGAGGCAAGAGGCTGGCGGGCGAGGTGCCCGATTGCCTCAAATCTCCATCCGCACTTAAGCACCAGGTAGGCGGAACATTGCTGCAATGGGATAGGTGTAGCAAGAGGCGGGCGGTGGAGATTGGCAGATTGCACTCAGATTTGCAGGCGAGGTGCTGCTTAACCCAAACTTAATGGTAGAAAAATAAAGCTTAAGTGGCTAAGGGACTCTGGGTACCTACAAATGGGTTTATATTGTGGGATCGGCGCTTCTTCTGTAGGCATGGGTTTTTCTATATTTCAACGACTTCGCCGTGGCATCAAAATGACAGCCTGCATTTTCCCCATTTAATCCCTTTCCAGGAAAAATCCCGTAAATTAAACTCCATTTGCGTTCTCTCGACAGGTCGTTTTCAATATTAAGTCCCCAACTGGAAGCATGAATCAGGATGTTTCTAGTTCAGATCCTTCCTCAGCCATAAACTTGCTAGCAAAAGTACAGGTAATCATGTGGGTCCATTGACAGGCAGGAATTAAAATGCCACACAGTCTGGGAAACACCTTCAATGGGGCCGACTGAAATGTCACAGAGTAGTGAGTCCGTCTCTCTCTGCCTCACCTTGTCTGCAAAGTGGAGTAATACAGAACTACTGCATCATTCCATGTTGCCTTATAGCTAGGATGATTTAAGGATTACAAGATAATGCAAGGGAAGGTGTTTGAACGGAAGTGCTATACAAATGTGAAGATGACAATTTAGTAATTCCATTTCATCGTTCAGGTGTGATGCTAAAGTTGTTGACTGTAAGATGAATGAGGTTATTTCTGTTAGTCCCATGGCTGTGTATCATTGCAAAGAACTAGGTTCTGAAAGTCAGGCCTCAAAAGTATTGCTGCTTTTATTATGAGTTGTATTGAAATGATTGTTATGAAGTCCTTGCTCATTATGTTGTAAGGTTCCCCGTGGTCATTTTTGAGAATGGTGGTATATAAATATCCTAGTAAATGTTTTTTAAAATGACATTTTCAAAAATGCACATTGTACCTAGAATCAATTAATGCAGCAGCCACAATCGGTATAGACAACTTTATGTAAAAAATGAAGGATCTTTCTGATGCAATCCAGTTGCTGAGAATGTTCATTGTTATGTACATCTCATCTACATATTTATATTCTCTGCTTGAGGTGGCTTATAGAACACCTGAAAAGAAGCTCATTTTGATGTATTTCATAATAGTTTATACACTAAAGCTATCCATGAAAATCCCAATTTCAAGGTTCACTGCTAATAAAACTACATTTCCTTTCACTGTTAATAAATTTAGGACAAGCAGATTGTCTGTTTCTGCAAATTCCCACTTGGTTTCCATTAATCCTCTTTGGGGGGGCGGGAATTATTAATATCTACAATAGGACAATGCATTTTCTGCAGCAGCATGAAAAACATGAACAAGGAACCAAGATTAATTGGGTTAGTGTGTTTGTCAACTCATAATTTCATTTACAAACATAAGCACGCACTTGCTCCTCCCCACACCCCTCCTGAAATTATGGTTATGTACACAACACTAACTTAAAATCCAGCCAGGTCGTTCTGTTTCTCAATTCAGATCAAAGCTGGTTTGGGTAGATATGAATCAAGATGCCGTATTTCATAAGAAACTACAAGGTAGATAAGAGTATATGGATTGTAGCTTAAGATAATGTGTGCACCACTGCCTAAGCCAGCAGTATGAGCACACTGGACCCAGTTCAAACGGGACTATGTGCACAGCCTATACAGTATTGCTATATAATTTTGTATCCTCTGTGAAGATCAGTGGGCGTTTAAAGCAGCTTATAAAAGGTAATCTATGATCATTAGTGAGTTGTTGACCTGGGATTATTGCAGTACAAAGTGATACCGGTAATTTTAAATAGCATCCTCTCATCAACATTAAAGAATTTGGAATTAGCAAGTGAGATCTGCAACAAAGGGTTGCAGAGTACAGTATCTTCACCTCCTTGCAAAATTGCTCTTGTCCAGGGTGACAGGACAGAATAATCGTCTCCTGCAAAATATTCCATCTCACCTTTTCAATTTTCCCCGACACTTTAATGTTATGTGGCTACTAAACACGTTTATTCTTCAGTGGACTGGTTTTTTTACTCTCTTAGAAGCGTTTGGTAAAGACTTTTTGTACTTCTGCAAATATTGGAGTTCCCTAAGCTGCTGCCCCCTGCTTGTTTCTTGGTGGTCCCATTTTGGCTATACATCCATCACTACCCAACCAGTTGACTTTTGCTGTTAGAAGTGCTGGGAAATTGTTTCATCTGCAGAACCTTTTTGAGGCAGGGCTTGAACACACACTCGATTCCTATTTTGATGGGGTGTTTTTTGTTGGGTTTTTTTAAAAAAAAACCACCTTAGGAGAATAGTATATGAATGGCAGTGCCAGCCACCAACCTAGATGGCTTTAAAAGAGGATTAGACAAATTCATTGGAGGAGAGGGCTACTGATGGCTGCTAGCCATGATGGCCATGCTCTGCCTCCACCGTTGGAGGCAGCAATGCTTCTGAACACCAGTTGCTGGAAATTACAGGAGGGGGAAGTGCTCTTGTGTCTGAGTCCTGCTTGGCGACCTGAGATTCATCAAAGCAATTACCGGTACTTTCAAAAAGGCTCCAAGCTAGTGCACCCAGCACTCCCAGTTCAACCTACACACACATTGTGGGGAAGCAGGCGTAGCTTCCAGCTGTCCAAGATAAGGCAGCTTGCTCATTGCCCCAGCTGACCCCACAAAAGCTTCCTAAAACCCAGAAACTCAGGCCAACACACCCTGTGCGTCTCAGACAGCCCCCTTATAAGTTACTGAGAGTGTAAAGGCAGATCATACTCCTGACTCTCTCCCAGAAGAGTGCCTGCCCTCTTACAACTCTGATTCTAACCTTTCAGTAGCATGAATTCTAAGCACCTAGGTACGTGAGGATTCTAAAACCCTGAGGTTGGCAATTACACACAATTCACTGGTCAAATCAGGGAACTTTATTTAAAAAAAGAGGGAAAGCAGGCAAGTCGAAACAGAATGCCAAATACAGTGGTACCTTGGAAGTCTGTTTGACTTCCAAAACATTCAGAAACCAAATCACGGCTTCTGATTGGTTGCAGGAAGCTCCTGCAGCCAATCAGAAGTCGTGGAAGCCCCATTGGACGTTCGGCTTCCAAAAATAGTTCTCAAACCGGAACAGTCACTTCTGGGTTTGCGACGTTCGGGAGCCAATACATTCGGGAACTAAGCTGCTCGAAAAC